GTTACAGAAGAGTGCAGATGTCCACCAGGAGAGGTTTTCTCTAATCAGGATACTACATGGACAAGCCTTGTTGCTATACTTGTTCTGTATGATCCATGGAATGAACTGAAGAAAGCACAATTACTGTGTGCCTTCTCTGAGGACATGTACACTGATTCATTAGCAAAATGGTTTGTATTGGAGGGAGATTTTCTTTGTATTCCTTAAATGCCTTTTGATGTGCTGAGGCTGCTGTACACAAACATTGGAGGTGACTCTTATTTTTATATTTCTGGTGTCTTCTACCTTGCTGTGTTCAGACTTCTGCAGTGTGTAAATAATGACCAGGTCCGACCTGAGCAATTCTCTAGGGGTAGTTCCTTTTCTTCCTTAGTCCCTGACCAGAAACCCAACACCTGTGTGTGCCCAGATCTCACAGTCTTCTATGGAAGGGGTTGGGATTTTTTAAAAAATCCCAGCACAGTAGTTCTTACTAATCACAGCTTGTATGCTAATTATATCTGTCTTTCCAAAAGAGGCTTTTCAAAACCCCAAACAAAATGAATGAGTAAAGCAACTATTCCTGCAAATCCAGCACTCTAGAAGGCTGAGCCAGAAGAATCACAAGTTCTAGCCTAGTCTGGACGACTTAGACATTAGTGAAACCTTGCCGCAACATGAAACATGAAAAATTTTGAGGATATATTTCAGTGTGAAGGTCCCTCCTTCAATCTTAAACTATGCAAAATAAAAAAATTAAATTTTTGTGTATCTTAGCAGTCTTAGGATGGTATCAGGGAAGGGGATAAAGTTCTGAACAAACAAAGAACTATTTCAGGAAGTGTATAAACTGCAGATTTGGGATACTTGCTCTGTATCACAAATACTTGCTCCTTTAATAAGCAGAAGAACAAGATACAGGAATAGGAAGAGGCAAATATTCTTGTGAAAACAAGGTGAAAAAATATTTTAATCACAAGTGCACTAAATATATGGTCATAGAACCTATTATGTGAAATCATGATTTTAATTTTACAAGTGTCAAATTGACCTGAGTTTTTATTTTATATAAAAACTATTTAAGTAAACAATAAATTTAAAAGAAAAAAATACACATAAAACTTACATTTTTTTTAACCGCACATTTGCTGATACACATTTAAAAAAATATGAAGACAAAGAGAAAATAAAAAAGTAGAGCTACATGGCCACTGCATTCATTATACCCGTCCACTCTTTTATTCTGTTTATTTAGTCATACTTTGGGAGGCAAAGAATGAAGTTATAATATTCGTACTTTTGCTTAAAATACAGCATACACCAGAGCTTCTTACAGGGTACTGTGCATTCTAGAGAAAGAATGAGGAAACAAGAAACTTCAGGTAAGGGTATACTATTAATTGGCATACACCTTTTAAACTGCACTTCTGTTCTTTAAGAACTAGTGAGTGTTAAAATGCAGGTTCTAATTCAGCTGGTTTGACTGAGAGGCCTGAGATTCTTCATGTCCAACTTGCTCCCAGTAGAGGAGTCCAGGGATGAGAGTAGGTATGCACAGCATTTTATGTCATTGCTGGTTTCTTAGCAGTGAAGTCTTCCACTAGACAACTTTATATATCTCAACACTGCCATATTATTGGACCACTTGGTTTATTCCTTTTTATTTTATTATAAAAATACTATGATGGATTTTCACAGATAGAAATCTTTATACATATCCCTTAACATTTCTTTAATGAACTTTTTTTGAAATAGAAGTGCTCCATTGGAATTATTTGAATTTCAAGGCATTGCACAATAACTAGTTCGTTCATTTATTCATTTATTTTGCAACAACTAATTCTTAAGAAAGAAAAGAAATGTAGATTAAAAGGTGTAAGATAACTAATTACAGCACCCTGACATGAGTTTTTCTTTTCTTTTCCCGTGTATCCCTACATCCTTTCTCTAAAGATTTGCTCCCATCTCTGTGGTAATCCCAACTCACTGTCTTGTGTCTTTCTTAGTATTAGTTTCTTCACAGGGAAACCCTTCCAGGGCTGGCCAAAATACAAATCTCAGGGCTTAGTAGAGTCTACTCACTCAAGAAATAAAAATAAGAGTGAATAGTTGAATGAAAACACATGTTTTACAACAAATACGCTCTTAGACCACTGTAGTTTGGGTAATCAATTTCTTTGTTTACATATCAGATATTGTAACCACTAATTAAAATCTAAGCATAAAAACTTGTGTGCTGTTTCTCATGGAAAATAATCCAGAACAGCCTTTTGTTGTGTTAAAGTATTTCTTTTTATAAAGAAGTCTATGTATGTTCATGGCTGTTTATCAAGATCTGTGGACTATTCTTATTGTGCTCTGGGCATTTATTAATACCATTATGGTATAACGTTTGTATTATAGCTGATTTAGTACTGCTTGTATCAGTCAGCTTTCCCATCTCTGGACTCAGTACCCAATACTTACAATTAAGGGAGGGAAGTCCACAATCGGGAGGATCTGGCCAGCAATCAGTTGGTACTGAAATCATGGCAGAAGGATGCAGAGGATCAAAGCTGCAAATTTCCTGGCCACTGGGAAGCAGAGAAGAGGTGTAGTGCCAGGCATGAAAGTATGAGGAGCCGTGCAGACTGCCCAAGACTACGCCTCTGTGACCCACATGGGAACCTGCTGTACTAATTTGCTAGCTGTTTCTTAATCCAGTAAAGCTAGTATATTAGTATTAATGGCCAAAATACTCATAATTTAATCATGGTCAGGCAGCATTTTCAGAAACCATCCCACAAGGGACCTGCCTTTATTTATAATTACAACATTTCTTTCATTATAAGTTTTTTGCATTAATTTTCATTTTAAAAATTATCAGCTTAAATATTATCTATCTTAATTGTTGAGGTGTTTTTTCTCTAAAGGTGAATACCTGACATATCCTAATTCTCACCTTAGAAGTTAACTGGAACTTCTTAAGATTTTTGAGCAGTTGTGAAATTTATATCTTAAGTTTAGCACAATAAATATGACCTACTCAAATAATATTTGGTTGATTTTCATTTGTGTATTGAATAGTTTTTATCTGTGTGTTAACCAGGAACCTGTTCCAGTAGCTGTACATGTGGCAGTAAAGGGGAACATTTGGATTCAAACAGCTATTCAGACTGATACTTTACTTTCTCCCTTCATGATTCTTCCTTTGTTCAGTTAATCTAAGAAATGTTCCTAGGCTCTTGATGAGTGATAAGAACGGTGATATATAGATGCTACATATAAAAAATAGAATGTAGTATTTACTTTCAGGTAGCTCTGAATTTCCTATTGAAGGAAGTCAGTCACACCACGATAATTAAACCTATAGTTTAAATAGGAGCAGAAAAGAAAGACAAGGTCACCTTGAAGATAAGAAAGATTGTCTTGTTCATGCCCAAGTTGTCCTTTCCAAAGGGTTTGGTTTTGTGCATCCCTCTCTCTCTCTCTCTCTTTCTCTCTCTCTCTCTCTCACACACACACACACACACTCATACACACACACACACACACTTGTCTCTGTCTATCTGTCTGTCTCTCTTTTATGTAGCCTATGGATGTTATTTTGTGAAGACTTTAGATGGTTTGGCAAGTGCTTATTTAATCTAAGTCAAGTTTTACAAAACAAATCATAGAGTGTGTTGTGCAAGCAGGAAGTAGTGCCATACTGAAGGCCATATGGCATCATGCATAGTTTGAGAATCACCATGTCTGTTGAATTATGCTGTCACTGACTTCGAAGTTATCACTGATGAGCAGCAGTTGTTGCCAGGAATGGCAAATCACATCCTACATTTTTAAAAATAAAAAATGGTTTTATGGCTTTTGTGCAGAACTTATTTTTAGTAAAAGGCATAAGTCATCACCCACACTATATATATAGGAGTGGTATAGATTTACTAATACAATTTATTTTTAAAATTTTTACTTTGACTTCAAAATATTTAATTGAATCTCCATGCTATGCAAATGAATACTTGCAAATATATATTTTTAAGAAGCCTAAAATCCACTTGGGAAAAAGCCATGACTCACACTATCTAGAGTTCAGAGCTCAATGTCCCATGTGTTAAGGACAAGGTCAAGTCGCGTGGAAGGCAAATGAGTGGGGGTGGAGGCAAGAAGCTCAGTGGAAAGAGAAGAGGACCTCACATAGTCAGGTGCATCTGACTTGGACTTTGATGGCTGAACAGGTTCGGTTTTGTTTGAGTTGGAAAAATACAAAAAAGACATTTGGTTCCAAAAATAGCACTGGCAAAAGTTGAGGGATTGAGAAGTAATGAAGTGTTGCTGTTGACCATTGCTTCCAAACCCTTAGTGCAGGCTGGCGTTATGTGAAGAACATTAACAATGAGGGCCCCTAGGTCTCAGCTTCAGAGACACTGAATTTGTTGGTTATGGTCTATGCATCTGAATTTTTTTGAAAGTCCCCAAATTCCAATGTGCAGCCATGGTTGAGGACCTCTGCTGTGGAGTATTATATCTGATATGGTTCAATGGGAGGTAAGATAGAAGTAGAGGAAAACAAAATATGATTTTCTTTTTTCTTTTTTTGGTACCAGGGATCAAACTCAGGTCCTTGTGCTTGCGAGGCTGGCGGCCACTGAGCTAAATCCCCAGCCGTCAAAATACAATTTTCTTGGGCTAAAATTCTGTGTGCTGCAATTCTTACAAGGAATCACGGACCCCTTAAAGAAATACACCTATAAAATACACCATGAGAAAAAAGTTAAGGTTCAGGAATTCTAATTTACATTTATAAATGAAAACAATGAGACAGTTAAAGGCTCAAGACTCAGGCAATGTGGATTGTCTCTAGAACTCACCACAAGAAAGGACAAGATTTGGGGTTAAGGAAAGAGGTATTTAATTAAAGGATAAGGGAATTTCAACAAAGATGGGAGTGAGCACTTCAGGTCTAATGGTCACCTTTTGCATTAAATTCTGACTGTGTGGAAACTTCACCTAAAACTATTCATTGTTTTCCTTTCTTTCATCAGCTACCTAATATGTGTATGGGACCGGGAACATAAAAAGAGACAGAAGAGGACCCAAGTTGGAGGGCTTGTTTTCAGAGCAGATGGAGAGGAAAGACACAGGCACTGTGATATCTTTTCTCACCTCCAGTGGCATGTTCAGGCTCAAGACTCTTCCTTCTTGAAAGGTTCCTTCTTCATCATGCAAGTCCTGTCAGTTTTTCCTCACTCCTAACTCCAACATTCTGTCGGGTAAGGCCTTTTTTAACAACACAAAATGAAAAGTCCTCATCCAAAAGTTTGATAAATAGAAGTGTCTATAAAAGAGCCTTCTTCTAAAAATATACACATGCTTCCAGGCTAGTGTCTCCATTTTTGTTTGAGTGTTGTAGCACTCAACCAACTTCGGTCATGCTAGGTAGGCTCTTCCCACCTTCCCCTGCAGTTACCTCATGGTCCTCACACTCAGTGGTGTGCTCTGTGTGGGTCGTAGCAGACATCATCCCTTTGTTCTCAGTGCCCAGCACAGTGCCCTGTTGATATTCAGTATGTACCTAGCGAATAAATTACCCGGGCTACCCAGCACCAGAGTTCCTATTTTGAATCACTTTGTCTGTCTCATCAACATATAACCTCTGAGTAACACTTTGATCCCCAAGGCCCCATGTATCATTTTTTTTAATGGACCTATAATGCCCGGCAAGAGAATAAATCCTTTAGACTCCTAATTCTCATTGGTTTTCTGCTTGTTAACATTCCAGAGCCCCATCTTATTTCATTATGGTTCCCCAAATTTAAAAAAACCTCAATTTATTAAGTATTTTGTCCTTTAGTAGTAGACACTGAGTTCTAATGAGTGATCTGGCCCTTTCAGGAAATTCGCTGGCATCAATTAATTCAGCTATACCTACCTAAAGCATTCCACAGTGGGCCATCACTCACAGGACCATCATATTTCCACACATAAAGAAATGGTTTTGCCAATCACTATAAAATGAAACAATAACCATGGGACAGAGAGAATGAATGTGTATTTACTTTCTTTTCGAATCTTAGCTAGTTTTTTCCCCTGGTCCTACTCAGTGTCTCTCTTTTACAAAGGTTATAGCCTTTTCATTTTCTTATTTCAAAATTTATCCAGTGTCTTCAAATAAATACCTTCCATTTTATCTCCAATTTCTTCAGGTACATAGCTGCCAGATAAAATGTTCCGAAGCACAGTTTTGATAGTAGTTTTCTCATTCGGTGGTTCTTTTACTAACTTAAATATGTCCTTCTGATTTGGGGACCTTTAGTCTGACCAAGACCTCTACAAGATGTTTCAGACAGATGCACCTGATTGGTGCACACTGCTGTGCAGTGATCTTTTACTAGTCACTGTGTGTATTACTCAGCTTCTCATTACTATGAGGGAACATGAGATAATTAATTTAGAAGAGGAGAAGTTTTATTTAGCTCACAGTTCTAAAGATTCCAGTCCAAGATTTGGCAGAAATACTGCTTTTGGCCCCAGTGTGGGTGCTAGATGGTAATGTTGGGAGCATGAGGCAGAAAACACTGCTCACACTGTAAAACTGCTCACCAGGCCCTACCTCCTGCAGGTTCTCTTACCTACCAATAGCACTGACCTGGGGATCTTTGCAGGACACTCGGGACACTTTACAGGTCACCTTTGCTCTGTCCTTTTACTTCTTTCTGATGAAATGTTTATATTCTCATTCTTTAGAATATCCTCGCCGTCAATTTAAAATCACCTCCTTCATGAGACATTCCAAAATCACTGCAAATGAACATAATTCCCTCACTCCTTTGAGTGATCTTTTCACTGAGCTGTTGTTTTGTTTCTGATTCTCCACCTGGCTTACTTTGTAAATATCTATGCTTTGTTGTTTGGGACTATATGGGCCTTGAGAAAATGGGGAGTCTCTTCTTTAACTGTCCCTTAACTTCTAGCACTATGAATTGGACACTGTAGGTGTGCCACTGATATTTGAGATGAGCTTTAGTGAAATATCATGAAGGAAAAGGGCTGAAGATATATTATTTCATAATTTAAATATTAAAATGGAATCTTGAGAAGGAGGCACAAGAATAATCTACCTAATAACTGAAAGACCTTTATTCCTATAATTGTAAGCTCTAAATTCTATATAATTTTTCTTTTCTTTGTAGGAGCTATCACCTCCCTAGCCCTGAAAATGTGTATGCATGTGCGTGCGCACACACACACACACACACACACACACAGAGATGTAGATGAGACTTTTGCTCAGCTTAAAGGATAAGCAGTTCAAAGCCATGTTTATTCTGAATTGGGAAAAATATGCAACATCCTTTTGATAAAAATAGTCTTTATTGAGGAAGAAAAAAGCCATTAACATTTCTCTGTAGCAAATAATTATAATCCCTTGCTATGCCATAAAATTTTCTACAGAGAAAATGAAGCAGTAGGATATGATTATATATTTAAGAAAAAATGTGTTCTAGCTTTATGTGTTAGAATGTGGAATAAAAAGCAATTTGGACATAGCAAAAAGATCCCAAACAGCTTCTGTTCCATGCATAGCAAAACTATGTACATGTGAGCATTTAGAGACATCTGGGGAAATAAGCCTAAGCCGGAAATGCAATCTGTCTTTTGTGACACATTTTTGAGATGAATCCAAGGAGCAACTCTTAAGAGTAAGATAGTAAATGCATGTTTAATGTTGGACAGAATACTTTATTCTTCTTTTTGTGGGCCTGCGACTCGGTTACTACATCTCCTGTAACATTGGGAAAACATTTTACAGGTTGAGTGGCGGAGGTTGTCTAGAAGATGCCTCAGGACAGCAAATACTGCCACTCTGGTTTTTGTCTCTTTTAATAACAGCCCTAATAAAAGTTGGGTGTCTATAATGTGTAATATTAGTGAGGTAAAATACCACTTCTAATATTTTCCTTAGTAAATAGTGAAAGAGCTTAGTGGGCTTTCATAGGGAAGCTATCCTAAAGTCAAAGATTCTCCTTTCTAGAGTGTTAGTGACTTCACTGTGATAAAAACAGTAACACATACAGTGCATGCCTGGCAAGTGCAAGGCCCTGGGTTTGATTCCCAGCATACATGCCGTACACACACACACACGCATACACACACACACACACACACACACACACACAGAAACTCAAAACTGAGAAACACAAAAAGCCAAGTGCTAAATTTACTTTAAAAATATAATAAATGTCCCTAGTGATACAGGGGAAAATGAGTGTTCACCCTCCATCAAGACAGAACTCAAAAGATGATCTCTTTCAACTCACCAGCATATTGGCCTATGTGTACTCTTTGAACTGCACTCCCTCATCCCAGCTCTATTCTCTCTGCCTTGATCCAAGTCCTGCCGGTCACTGCGGCAGCCTCTGAACACAACCCTGCCGACCACTTTACCCTCCAAACCCAGCCTCCGTTCTGCAGCCAGTTTTGTATCACACAAAGTAAACTGGATCATGTCCTCTGGTGAAATCTTTCTGAAGGCCTTTCCTTAGCCACCCAAGGTTCAGAGAGATCTGGCTGGACTTAGGCTCCTACCATTCTCCCTTCTGCAGCCCTTGTACCAGCACATAGTTATGTGGTCAATGTCCTATCCCTAAACTATGATGCTGCGTTGGCTATGACGGCCTCTCCCAGATGTTTCCTAACTCTTTGCTCCCAGGCTACTTCCTACTCAGTCTTTCAGTCTCAGCACACTGTCGCCTCTTCAGAGGCGCTTTCCTGTTCCTTTCTTTCTGCGTCCTTAATCTTTTGTGATTTTTCTAACCTTAAGTTAGCCCCATGCCTTATTATCACATGCCCTAGACAGGGCACTCCACGAGGATCATTTCTCACATGTTTTTGTCTTTCTATCAATATTCTCTAGGAAACAACCGTTAACTAGGAAGGCATCGATTATGTGTTTGTTAAAATAAGAACCACTCTAAATTACTTAGAAGTAACTCAGAAGTTACTCTTCCACCCATTCCTCTTTTTAAAATTATCTCTTACTTTTACTGTTTGAAACAAAACACTTCCTAGAGGCATCTAGGAGGAAGATATTCAGCATATTTATATAGGGCACAAGATCAAAAACACATCAACTGTTTAGGTGACTTTGTTCATTTTCACATACACAGCAGTTCAGCAGTGAGACTATACTGATTGGTTCATTTTAGTTGTTACTTTTTTGATTAAATTGCCCAGCACAAACCACACTCTGAAGACAGATGATCTGAGAAATTGATGATTATGAATCAAATAAAAAATGGACTAGCCTATTGACCCTATGATCTGAAGTCACCTTAGGGATGTTTTGGAAAATTTTTCTGTAGTTTAGTCTGCTGTCACATTCCATAGCTTAGAGAAGAAATTTCACACTCAGATACTGTGTTCCCAGAAGTATTATTGATGGTGATGAAAATGTTCTCAGAGAGAGTAATAAGTCAGAGGCTACTCAACCCATTTCGTGAACTGCACTGCGTGTTTTGTTTTTATAGTAAATATTCTTCACTGTGCTCACCATTCTCTCTTCCCATTCTCCAAGATGTGCACATGCACAGGCGTGTGAGTGAACACACACACACACACACACACACACACACACACACTCAGACACACCCCCTCAGGAAGATTTAAATACGAAGTACTCCAGCTAGGAAAGATAGCTACAATAAGAACTACAGGCCCAGTAACTTGAGAAAAAGCAATTGTTGCTATTCAATTAGTCAAGTCTTCCATTAATTAGTTAGAAAATCCATGTTAGTAGTTTGAGCACAAGGTATTATAATATTTGCTACATTTGTAAGGAAATAAAAGTAATTCTTATCAGTGAGTTAAGACTGACAGTTGGAGAGACGGTTCTCTCATATTCAAGTAAGCAAACGTTATCTAAAGATTCATGCATGATAATATTTATATCTTTCCCTTTAGAGTCTAAGTACCTTGAAGCCAAACATGAAAATATCTACCAGTTAGATGTTTAAAATTTTATGCCTCATGCATGTGGGCTATATCTAGACAAGATTACTTGTCATAAAAAGGTGTTAGCCTAGCTCAAATATTGTTTCATTTGAAGCATAATCACTTTTTGGAGTGGCTACATTTGGGTTATTTCCAAAGTATTGTTTTGATGAATCAAAAAGGACATACTTTAAGGTAGACTGATCTTCCCTTGGCATGGGTTAGATTATGAAGAGACTTTGGTCAACTGAGCACTCAGCTGAGCCCAGCGGCTGTGGGT